ACGAGAACGCGAGTGCGTACTCGCGTTCTCGTGAATTGAGAAACGGTCTCTGTAATCGATTTGCTTCGCCTTAATGTGCAGGGTGACCAATTGGGTGTTAGATAACCGCCCCCTAACTTTGATGGGTGAGTTTGACAGATTCTTTCAATGGTTTGGATGCACTGCGACACAGGACCATGACATGAATCTGTTTTACAACTTTGACAGACTTGTAAAACAGATTCTTTTCATATTGATAAACAGAACAGTGTGCTGTAGTCCATCAGCCACTATACAGACAATTTTGTGTTCTAACGAGACAATTTTTTTAAATGAAAATGTTAGAATATATTTTCCTGATAAAAATTTATGCATTATCCAAAAAGAAAAGAAAAAGCTGGTTTGCTATAATAGTATCCCAAGTTTGCTGATCACTACAGATCTACAGTTTAGGTGCAACTTTTAGGAGATATTGAGACAATTATTAGTAGAGGTGAATGTATGCATATATTTCAAAAATCCTCAGTTAAATCTGTATAGATATACACTGTAAAAACATTTCTGCCAGAAACACTAAAAATGTTCAAAGTAGCATTAAACGTGCAAAATAAACTGCTATTAAGTCTGAAATTAATGTGACCATTAAGTAATACTCAGTTACACCTTTAACATCAAATATATGGCAATACAGTTGGTGATTTTATGAAGAATTGTTTGTCAACCTTGGGAATGGTAAATACAACAGGTACTTCCTGTTGTTCAGATGTTTTCATCCCATAATCCTCCTCCTTTACTTGAAGGTTTTAATGAGGTCGTGAGGATGCATAGTGAGGGTGGTGGTATATGAAAAGTGGAGTACTTACATCGTTGGGTATTGCCAGCTCCTGTGTACTCGTTGGTGCAGAAGCATCCAGTCCTGCAAATTAGGACAAGAAACTTCAGTAACGGATTTTTGCAGTTAATTTACTCATTCATAAATTTAAAAAAAAATCAACATGCCTTGTTTATTACTATTATATGACTCAGGCAAACAAATGAATTGAGAAAATTAACAATATTTCAGCATATATGTGTTGTAACTTAAAGAGTTCATCTCGCTGCAGTTATAATATGGCTTTCACATAAAATGCTGTCTGAAAAATAAAAAAAAACTGTCAAATCTACTGATCAATTTAAATTAATCTCATCATTTTCACTTATTTCAGTCATTCAGCTCAAAAATTGAAGCTAAAAATATTCTTTACACTCAGAGTGATCATGTTTCAAGCATTTCATTTGGTTAATTTTTATTGATTGTAGTTTATAATCAAACAGAACTTCAAAATCAGTTTAGTACAAATAGAGAAGCGTTTTTTAAAGAAGTGCCTTCAGCTGGAAATACACTATATGATTTTTTGCTCTTTTCGGGACGATTCTCCAGTGCGTCCTATAGTGTACAGGGGGTAACGACCTGCTCCCGATCAGGAATCGTAAGATCGGGAGAAAATCAAACAATTCAGTCGGTTTTCATAAGGTCTCATCAGAGCTTCGGGCCCCACATTGTGAGAACATGCATGGTGAGCTGTAAACTTTTAAACCCTGTGGTTTCGTCGTACAGTTTGAGCTGTAGCTGCGTGCAACAACTGAAAATATCGCACATTGTATGCCCCGCTTTACTGATATAAGACATGCAAACAGAAATCCCCTGAAAAGACAGCAAGTGAAATGAGCGAGCTTTGTCCTGAATGGATAGCTAGACTCCCACACTACAACGCCTCGTTCTTGACATGAGATGGCGCTCTGCTTATTGTAACTATCAGAGGAAGAGCCATCAGCTAGATCCAATCCAGTGGTCCAAGTGATTAGACAACAATGGAGTCTATTTGTTGGTCAATCCACACACGGTATACACAGTGTACACCTCCACCTTATGGGAAAAGGTGAAAAAGGTGTAGTTAGACTTTGACTGATTGTAAGAAATCCATAGTTTCTTAAAGGTATACTATGCAACTGGTGTTGATTTTCCAGC